AATAATGATAGATTCATCATGATTCATTAATTATCTCTCTTAGTGAACGAATCCATTTGCAAATGCTCATCATATTTATCATTTATCATATTTCTGTGATGACACTGCTAGTTTGAGTAAATACCCTTCAAATAAGCATTGAGAGCACGTTTTCGGTTTCCGATTATACATTGGACAAGTGCGGAAGTGCGTAGTTGATCAAACAGCACTTAATCTTGTGTACACGCATCGTATACAACGTCTTGCATCTCGTATCTACTCGTCCTCAAATGCTTATTCTGATAGCGTTGCGTTAGATTGATTAGGCAATTACAATACGCATAGGCTTGCCATCTTATAAGCTCTGACAGCGGGTATATTCTTGACCAAATGCACCTGCTACGCGCTCGTTGAATTCCAATTAATAGTCTTTGATTTATTTAGTACATAAGTTTGCTTTTGGTCCTAGTAATTTGATTGTGACCTAGTTTCATTTTCAACAATGTCTTGTAGGTATTGGAGCAATTTAGAACTATTTCATAGAGCAATTTATTTTAAAGAAGCCAGTTTTGCTGCACACAAATGCTATAAACATGTGCGTATATTATATATGTATGTACAAATTGCTTTTGTGCATATTTCTATGGTGAATTAAACTTAATGCTCCACTAATATTTCAATTCAATATTAAATCAAAATAAAAGGTATATTCACTATTAAAACCTATCCATTATCATATGAAATATTAGTCACCGTGATAAAGCTGCATTAGAACATAGGATATTACATTTCGAGGAGTGATGAGACACAGGACTAGACAAATGGATAGGTTTATGTGCATGACATTGATAATGAAATGCATTTTTGCAGTTACAATGACCTCTCTAGCCGCAACTTAAATTACATCTATATTCCTTGTTATATTAAGCCGAATGAATTTAATAATGGTGTTAGATTGAAGGTCTTGTTGAGGTATTCAACATTATCAAAATACTAGCTCGCATAAAAAAACGTGGGAGTGAAATAAAAACTTGCATCTTCGGCAAATTTCTTGCATGCTTAACAGTTTTATTACTCGATCTAATCAATATAATTTATTATTAACACCAGATTAGAATATTTTTAAAAACTTTTTACTCTTTATGTTTAATTAAGGTACGGAAAGTTCAGCAATGTCTTTTAATAATATTTAAGGTAATTAATAAAATATTATAATAACTAGTGGGGCGCATGGCATCGTGCCTTAAGGCAAATTGCTGGAACTTCTTGTACCGAAAATTATTTTTTTAAAAACGATTAACATTTTTGAAAAAAAAAAACTTCGAAAAAATTAGATTTTTGAGAAACTATAAATTTGACAAAAAATTACTTTTTTTTGAAAAAAAATTTTTTTTTGAAAAACAAAATGTTTTTGAAAAAAATTGTTTTTTTCATTTTGACATAATTTTGGAAAATTTTGGAAATTCTGAACTTTTTTTCAAAGCAATCGTACTGCTTGAACTTGAACGGATAAGCATTGGTACGGAACCCATAGAAATGTAAAAAAAAATTATACTTATTGTTACAATCTCTATAAAATATCTGATAATTTGATGTGCATATGTCTAATGATCATTTTTGACCACCAAATGGCATTTTTTTTACTTTTTTCATTATATCGCCGAAACCGCTAGACCTGCCTTCATGAAAATTTGATCAATTCTTCCCCTTGTCAATACAAGTTAAATGTTTTTTGAATTATTGAAATCGGATGCTCCGTTCTCTTAAAAACTGAGTTACCATTTTTGGCACTTTTTGCCCCGTATCTTCGTAACGGCTAGGCCTGTCTTCGCCAAAAACTAATCAGCACGTCTCCTTATCAATACGAATCGAATGCTTTTTGAACTATTCAAATCGGTTGATCGGTATTCCCGAAATCGTCGACGAAAATTTGTATCCGCACACACATACACACACGCACACACACATACACACACATACATCCATTTTTCTAAGGTATGCCAAAATCTTCAGAAACCTTTTAAACGTAAAGATATAAAAAATTTCATTTTCGATTTTTTTGCGATTACTATAACTTGCCCCACGGGAAGTTAATCATTCATAAACAACAATTCGTAACATTCACATTTAATAATACCTCCAGCCTGCTTAATTATCGCAGAACAAGTGACAGCACGTGACCTGCGGAGGTACCAAACAAATATAAAGAAACGGAAGAAGTTAAACCAAATAACTTTCGCGTTCGCATTCTTTTTTCCAATGACGTAGTTATTTTACACGCACACTGTATTCTCCCACGCCGGTTCCACCGTACGAAGCATCTATCCTTGCTGGTGGTCATGATGCTCAAGCAAAATCGACACCACACATAAAGATTCATGGGTACATTGAGGGGAATCAGTATGCATATGTTCTTAAAACACCAACACGATCGCAAAGGTCGAAATGGGTAGAATACACTATACAGATACTCCAAAAGCAGTATAGACGACACGACATGCGGACGCAAGCGCATTACCTTCCCGCTCTGCGCGCTCCTGTTCGGCCCGTACCCCGCATGGTCCGTTCCCGCATGATCGTATTCCACTTCGAACGCGCTCGAATGTCGAGAGACACTGTGTACGACTATTCAGCCAGTTGTGTTAAATCCGTTATTGTGAGAGGTTCTGTTGCGTGTTATAAGTTTAATTCGAATGTTAGTGGTTTTCTACGCAATATGTGAATGCCCGTAATAATATATGAATAAAATCCATGTTTTGAAACAAAATTCGAAGTACACGTGTGTGTATGTGCTTGCAAAATGTGACACGCGAATATTCGACGCCCGAACTCGTGCGCTCGGTAAATCGATATCTAGAGGCGCGAAGCATTTTGTAGGACACCACAGATAGAACGGGAAAGTTTCAGTGGAATGTAGTTATAATTTGATATGCTTAACGTATTTGCACGCAGTTTTAGACATTGACATAAATTGTGACACGTGTGTAAAAAGTGTTTCGTGAGTGCTATCGAAAAACATAATAATATATGCTTGTTAAATTCGTGAACAATTGATTACGACTCGTTTCCGATATTGGAAACAATTGTTGATTTAAAACATTTGTGTGTGAACGAATTTACATTTGGAATAAAAATACAAAAGGGATTACTTCACATAAACTGACGGTTGTTTTGCTGTACTTTGAACTTTAGGCACTGAAGTAAGTTGATTTCACTAGAACAGCTGATGGCCTTGAAATATGCTTATTTGTAGTTATATGATTAACATAAATTCTACGATTTATCGTCCATGTTCATTTAAGAGGTCTCTAGATATTTTCCGCGTGTTTTGTGCGCCGGCGTACGATCCGATTGGAATATTTACGCACCTATTGTCAAAATGTGAAGGATAGATAAGCGTGTATATATAACAAATATAAATATTTATCTACGTTTCCAATTCTAGATGTTATTTACGTGTACAACGTATTGACAGATAATTTAAAAGATTTTATATATATATATATATATATATATATATATATATATACAGTGGCGTCGGAAGCAAATTTTTGATTTTTGGGCTATCAAAATATTTTCGACTGCTACTTTTTATAAGGGTCCGCTCATTAATCACGTGATCAATTCTTAAGGATTTTTTGGCCAAATTATCACGTGTGTTTTGAGTTTCTAGAAAAAATCGTAAAAATTTGGAGATTTTTTAAAGAAAGTTTGGATATTTTGTTTCAAATTCAGGTAAAAATTAAATATACTTGATATCTTACTATTTCGTAACTTTTGGTCAAACACCACCTCTTCTTTTAAGCCTGTACTTAATGAATGGACTGCCCCTAATAATAAGTATGGTGCTTATGAATTTATAATTTGTAGTGTTTTAAAGATTTTCAGAATGTATTCCTTACAATTACCACGAAATTTATATTAAAACGTCAACTTTCAGCAATATAGTAGTACTAGTACTACATTCTTTACAATCAATATGCTCATGATCTTATAAATATTGTCTGATCTTTGACATTGAATTTCAAAATATCATAATTTATCGCAATGCAACTTTTCAAAATAAAGGGCGATGTATATATTTGTTGTTTCTGAACTAAATTTGATATAACTAACAATTTGATAACGAGTTTAAGTAGAGATAACACTTTTATAAATGTTCATCACAAAATAATTTATATGACGATGTTTGCTTTTTACGATATAATTTTACCTCTTATTGTTCAGTTTTTAACCATAAGTAACGTAAGTAATGAATTTAATATTAAAAAAGCGCTATACTGTAAAAATATTTCAAATATAAATTTGTACAATCTTTTATTGTTCGTCATAATTAGACATTTTAATTTAATCATTTGTTTCAATGTAATTAACAGATTTTGTAACGTTTAACTGTGTATTATGTTTTCATTTTTTAGCGAATCAAATCTTGTAAGTTATACTTTTATAAATTATATTTCATATTTGTAAGAATAATTTTAATCATTTCATAATCTATATATTTAAGATTGAAATTCTATATGCATTTAAATTATTTTTCGAATATATGACATAACATAGTATATTTTATTTTTTTTCAATTAGAATAAAACATTAAATATTAAATAAAAATGATTAATTATTTTGTTGCAATTAATTACTATTTATTGATTGCAAAATTATTTCGACATATTCTTCACTTGAAAATGCTTCAAGTGAAATGTTATGAAATCGCGGAAGTTAATAAAATTAACTTCCACGTGACATGAGACTATTATCTATTTTTATTACATTATTTTTTTCTAGTTTACAATTAAACGCTTATTATTTTTTTAAATTTGATTCTCAGATATCGACTTTGTCATATATAATGCGACCATTGTGGTAATGAATTTTTAGAGCGATTTTAGAGCAATTTTAGCTTTATAGAAAAGTATGAATGTATATCTTAAGTGTCCTGTTCACGCCATGATTAATTATGAATCCATAATATTTTTTTTTATTACTCAGTGATGAAGAGTTGATCTCAAATCTAATTTCAGATTAACGGCCAGCAGCCTGCAGCAGCCGCCGTGATGCCGGCAGCGCCGCCTTCGCCGCCGCCAGCACACAGCGTGGAGGGTTCGCCTCCAAGGAATGGCGTCACCGCCCAAAGGCACCAGGACGCACCTATGCCAACTAGGCGAAGCCCTAAAGACTTCATTTTCGGTCGATCTATTGGTGAAGGAAGTTTTAGTAATGTTTATTTAGCCAAGGATATACACTCCCGTAAAGAATACGCAAGTGAGAATAATATTTATTATTTTTTACGATTTCAATTTTTTAAAACCGATTAGGTATCAAAAATAATATAGTTCATACAAAAAAATCATTAATATAAATTAATCTTCGAATTTAATTAAAAAACCAAGATAAGTTTATAAAAGAATAAGTTTCTAAATTATGAAATTTTTAATTTGCATGTTTATTTACTTATTTTATCTGGCTCTTTTTTTAAAATTAACCATTATCAAGAATTGTTTTATCTATTAAATTATTCCTATATATTCATTTTTGTTATTTATTAATTTCAGTAAAAGTATGTGACAAAAGACATATAATTCGCGAGAGGAAAGCTGAATACATCAAACGAGAGAAAGAGGTGTTGCACATGCTTTCAAATTGCGAAAATGGATTTGTTCATCTTTATTGTACATTTCAAGATGCTGATAATTTATACTTTGTCTTATCCTATGCTAAAAATGGTGAATTGTTACCATATATAAATAAAGTTGGTTCATTTGATTTGACATGTACAAGGTTCTATGCGGCTGAAATTTTGGTAGCTTTAGAAAAATTACACTGTAGAGGAATTATACATCGAGATTTGAAGCCTGAAAATATACTTTTGGATGAACATATGCATATTTTGATAACTGACTTTGGTTCTGCTAAAATATTAAATGAAGATAACTCAAATTTAAATTCGTCTGAAGGGGAGATGTGTGAAAGGCGAAATAGCTTTGTAGGCACAGCTCAATATGTTAGTCCCGAATTATTAAAGGATAAAAGGGCATCTAAAGTATCTGATTTATGGGCATTTGGTTGTATAATATATCAAATGGTGTCTGGTTTACCTCCTTTCAGAGATGGATCTGAATATTTAATTTTTCAAAAAATTCTTAAACTCAATTATGAGTTTCCAGAAGGCTTTGATGAGACTGCCAAAGACTTAGTAGAAAAGCTATTAGTATTGGATCCTAACAAGAGATTAGGTATAAACGATGATGGGCCAACTTACAAAAGTGTGAGAGAACATCCTTTCTTTAATGGAATAGAATGGGATACTTTGTATCAGCAAACACCACCAGATATTTATCCCTACTTGCCTGGTAGAAGTGCAGATGAAGAACTTCGAAGTCAATACAGAGTCCCTGACCATCTAGAACCAGGTTTAGATGATAAACAACTAACTAGACTGTTTGGATTAGAATTAGGAATAGCTGAACCACGCCAACCTAAAGGTGATTGATGATGGTGTTATCTTAGATAAAAAATTTTGCATGTTATAGTTCAATTGAAATTGTGGATGTTGCTCAATAGATTATTTGTAATTTATTTGAAAGGCAGAAACAAAACATATTATATTAAATTAAACTTTATTATGTTGTTAATGTGCCATCTAAAGCAAGATTATTTTATTATTGTTAATAAATGCATTTTATAAAATTAACTTGAGCTTTTATTTTTGTTATAGGCATATGTGATATTTCACCAGAAGAAATTGAAAGGCGCTTAGAAAAGCAAAAATTAGATAAATGGCATCCATTTGTAGAAAATAATTTAATTTTGAAGCAAGGCTTTGTTAACAAACGCAAAGGTTTATTTGCTAGGAAGAGAATGCTTCTTTTAACAATGGGTCCAAGATTATTCTATGTAGACCCATATAACATGGTGCTCAAAGGTGAAATACCCTGGAGCCCTGAATTAAGAGTAGAACCCAAGAATTTTAAGATCTTCTTTGTACATACTGTAAGTAATTATCAAAGATTCTTATTTCTTTTTATTTTCAAGATTACGAATTTATGACAAAGTACTTGATATTATTACAAATATGTGCGCACTTGACAGGCAGATGATAGACATGAATTTTAACATATTTAATAGGCTAAAGTGTTTTCAGTTCGACCAGTCTTAAATGGAATAATTTGATAAATTCAATTTCTTAGTAATTTCATATGCTGTTGTTTGTCAGTTTGTGAAAAATGTGACAATTCATTTGTCAACCAATAATTTGTCAAATCATTTCTTAGTATTTTGTGAAAAAAATCATTGATTAATATGAAAATTGCTAGATCTAAATTTGACTTACCTTTTCTGCCACTAGCTTAGTGACAGTATTTACTTCTTAAACATAATTTCAATTGACAGGAAAAGCTTTTTTATTTGTCTAGTAATTAAAAGCCAAATAATGACTGTAAGGGCTCTTCCTTTTATTAATATTTAAATTAGACTTGATCAGTTACTGAAAAAATTCAATTAAAATATGTACGAACTTTTTATACAATATTATATTGCAGAACGTGAAGTGAGATTTTTAAACTTTTTTTCTCTTGCAGCCAAATAGGACATATTATTTAGAAGATCCCGAAGGTTATGCACTTCAATGGTGCAAAGACATAGAAGATGTTCGCTTACATGTTTATGGAAAGCAACAACCAAAATAACATAGATATGTTATGCTTTAGATAGATAAATTTGTAGAACATTCAGCAATGATATTTTTTATAGATTGAGCTGGAGCATGTGTTATTTTCTAAGTTAATTTATTTGTTTATTTGATTACGGAATATTATTTATTTTTAAAAGTAGTATATTTGTTAGGACATTTTGTATGTTTGCTGAAGCATATTTATATTTTATTTATAAATAATTAAATTATGTCTATTATTCTGCATTTGGCATTTAAATTTTGAACATTGTGCCAATCTAGGAAAGTTTAAAAAAAAAATGTTATGCTTAAAGTAGTAAAAAGTTTATAATTTTGAACATTAAACTATTATATTTCATATAGCACAGCTGAAATGAAATGTGTGATTTGATAACTTGCCAAGAGGTCTTATTTCAATGTTTACTGATTCAATAAAACATATACATGTAAATCCTGTAAATTCAAATGGCATAGAACACTGCCATTTTCATTTTTATATTGTTAACACATAATATTTGTCAAGAATGTATGCATTGTATTTTAGTCTTAATTATTTAATAATTCTTGACTAACATGTATTGAGTTTTTCAAACATGTTTATGTAAAAAAGTAATTTAATTTTATGTTATTATGTTATCAAAAGTTTTTGTAATACAATACAATAATATTAAGCTCATCAGTATTAGAATATTTAAAACAGATCAGCAATCAGTTATATATAAAAACATTAAGCCAAAGTACTAAAAATAGTCATTTTATTTGGTATGCCAGTTGTTAATCGGAATTAAGTGTGCGTGGTGTGTGTCTAATGTTAAGTAATGCCTTTGTGATTAACTTATAAAAAGTGAATTGCACATATGTTTGTGTGAGTATAACTGCATACACAAATATAATGACGTAATATGATCATGTAATTCAATTATTCAATTAATGTAAACTTTATGTATGAAATTGAAGTTTTATAAAAACTTTATTTCAATTGATTGAAGTTGCTTAGGTAGAAAATGAAAAAATGAAGTGTATAAAATGCACGGGCATAATATCGATATAGTCTTTTCTGATTTTATAATAGAATTTTTTTTAAAATGAGTAAGATAGATTCATTATTTATATGTACATAATTTTATATTATAATATTTATAATATAGAAATATTATTTTAAATAATTTTTTACAATACTAGATTTTCTCTCAAAGATGGTGTTCATAATAATGCAATTTAATGCATGTGTTCAATTTTCGAATAAGGTATGATTGTAAAAAATTGTTTCTGAGCTAATGTGAATAAATTGATACATGCAAATTATAGGCGAATATTGTTGCTACTGTTATATTTGTTTTAAGCTATTTGGAATAAAATTTATTTAATTTATTTGGTGTGAATCATGAACTTCTTCAAATTGTATATATAATATTGAGAATAAATAAACTAGAATTTAATAATTTATCATAATTAAGTAAACATATAGCATAATTGAAAGCATATAATACAAGCCGAGGATTATTAATAATTTTTTCGCAAAAATAGCAAAGTTTTGTTTAATTTAGGTTTAGTATAGTGTAAATATTTATTTAAGTTTGTATTAGTGCAAATATTATTTATAATAAAAAACATAGTTTAATAAAATGTTTCATTAAATTATATGACAAGATACACTTAATTGCAGTATGAAGATGTTATACTTGCTGCTATAAAGCAAGAAATGAAAATATATCTTCCGTTACATGTTGCTTTAGTATTGACATTGCATATAACTTTCCTATTAATGCCAGAAATATGACTAACATTGATTTTGACCTCGACTGCCCTGAAATAACTTAAAATAAAAATAAAACTTTAGACAATATTTGATCAAATTAATTATTTAAATTGATAATGATACCTGAATAAACTAGTAATTGTGATATTGTAGTATATCCAAATACAAGAAGCCAATGTATTTTTGTAACACTATTGTCACCCCAAATTAAAGACGGAAGCATTAGAAATTTTCCAAAACTTGATAGAGTTAACGATTTCCACATCCATGAAATGCCTACTCTATAAGAAACTTTTTGAACAATATTTTTGGGTTGCACAATATTTACCATATTATGAACAAAATATGCTATTATCATGAACAAGATAGTACCTAGAAAAATACTATTTTTTAAAAAACAATTCAATAAATTCAATTTAAAATATATATTGTATATATCAAACCTATTATAACATGAATGCAATTTATGTAAAAATCACTATCCTCTATAAAGTTTTCTTTTTGGCTTGTGTTAGACATCGCCCACTCTGTATAAGCTTCCATTATGACGACCAAAAGTGCAATTTTCCAGTAATTCTAAACATTACAGGTAAATATAAATATTGATAATGATTAATTAGATGAAGAATGATAATGGTCAATTTGATAAAATCAGACTCCACCACAATAGAATGCTGATTAAAAAAGAAAGAATAAAACCAATTAAATATGAGTCAAATATTTATTAAAATAAGTGCATTTATAACTCATTGAAACATTTCTTATGAAAGAAATGGTAATGAGTTCAGTATTTGTTGTTATTTTAGAGAATTCAAGTGAAAAATTATGAATTGTAATGGGAGTTTCCCTTATTCCATCTTGAATTAGTAAATTTTTCTTCTCCGAATAGCTACTATAATATGCTATATAAGCAAAGTCATGAATATTAGTATTTGCTTCAGCTTTATTAAAACTTAAACTTAAATAAATTATAACTCGCGTTTACAACAAAACTAACATCTAAATTAGAAATAAGACTGCATGTATTGAAAATACCAAGAAAAGAAACTCATTGCTCCCTAATATGAAATTTGTTTTGAAAGTAATATTTTAAATATTTTATATGTTTATCATTACAAATTGCAAAACTTGCTTGGTATATAAGGACCTAAATTAGCTTTTCTTGATTATTGATATAGTTATTTAATTTATTTTGAATGCATATTACTAAGGCGACCATATGCTACTAACTTAATTACATTTTATAATAAATACTATTTGATACAGGTTATTATGTAATAGCCAATTCCTAGCAAAACTTCAGAACAATCCAGGACAAAAATTGCTTCTAGAAAGATCCAGATAGAATCCGTGATGGAACTGTCCGGCTATACCAAAACATATGGTCACCTTTTATTTAAGATCATCGTCAAAAATTAAACTTGAACATTGTTGTCATGTTATTATGGTATAATGGATGAATATCATCTTGAGCATTGTCTTGTAACTGAATTATTTAAAATTTAAGTGAAAAATATATGAAATATATCATATCTTCGCAATGATATAAAACAATCAACCATATAATTTTTATCGAAATGATGTTGCTAATGAATCCTAGTACAGAGATTTTGTAATATACCTGAAATGTAGTGTTGTACAATATGTGCCTGTAAGCAGGCTTGCTCAATAAAATTAAATCTATCAAAATAATCACAGTGTCATATTCAATGTATTTGTCAGCAATTTGTGAACATTCGGGCTAAAATTAAAATAAAATGTTTACATTTTGTAGTTTTGATTCAAATATGCAAATAAATTATAGATCTGAAGGAACCTTACACAAGTGCAAATTTTCAAAACGGATTGGCTGTATTTTTTGGACAATTCTTTCACACCGTGACCACAGTTTATGCAAATATAAGAAATCATTTTTTTAGTAAATTTATCACATGCTTTGTGTATATTCTTTGACTTTATTCAATCGTCTAAACTAATACATGTTAAATTGTGTATCTTATTGAATATAATATTACTTATCAATCTGTTTTTGTGAGGTTATAGCTTGGCTCATCTGTAATCATATCATTACCTTGTGTTTGTTTTGGTTGTCAAATGTATATATAATTTAAAGATGGCGATAGTAATATCGACAATTGTTATAAAAGTGTTAATGGAAAATCATTTTTCAGGCAGTTTAATTTAATTTTAAATATTGTGATATAAATTAGGTATTTATTATATAATAACAGTGACAGGAAAATATTTTCTTCTTGATATCTACGATTCTATATGAAACCGGATCATTAAGAAATAATCGGGATTGAAATTGTCAGTTTCAGCGTTTCAGCAAACCAAGAGTAAAAATGAAACTAAGGTAGGTGCTCAAAAGTAAATAAAAGTAAAATATTATTGAAATATTGCAATTTAATACTGTATATTATATAATTCATATATCATGACTATGTAACTGCAAAAAAAAGAACTGCTAAAAAAAGGATGACACGCGATTGAAGTAAAACTTATTTTGTAGCAATTTTAAGTTAAGTAAAAATAAAGACATCATATAATAATTTTGAATAATGTTTATTAGTAATATGGTAACACTCGTGATGCACCCATTTAATAGTGTCAACCTGTCAATCATTATACACATTTATATAATGATAAATAAAAATATGTATAATATTTAGAAACAATAATATAATTAAAGCCATACTTCAAATATGACATGATTGGTTTGTCATTGTAATTAGCATTTAAAAACGAACCTTCATTAGAGAAATGAAGTAATTGCTGATTAATAAATTCTATAACATTCGTTCACACAGTGGATTATGTTAAACAACGCCTAAACAAATATTATTTTCGTGACTCCACTCATAATGTAATAATTATGTTTGAAAAACTTCATGTAATTAAAATTAACATACATTCATTGATTGCTTTTATTTTTTTTACCTTTTTTACTTTTTCTGGCGATATAATCTCGTTCATTGAACAGCTGTAATATCTGTCTTGCCTAAAAAATATTTTTCATTTTAATAACTTCAAAGATTTATAGAAACTACGAATAATATAGAAACTAGTGGGGTGAATGGCATCGTGCCTTAAGGCAAATTGCTGGAGCATCTGGAAATTTTGGTACGGAACCCAAAGAAATTTACACAAAATGTGTACACATTATTAAAATCGCTATAAAATATTTGATAATTTGATGTACATATGTCCAATAAACATTTTTGACCAAATGACATTTTTTAAACTTATTTTTAATGAGAGTCCATAACCGCTAGACCTGCCTTCTCAAAAAAATTTGTATCCGCACACACATACGCACACACACAAATTCATTTTATCTAAGGTATGACAAAATATTCAGAAACCTCTGAAACGTAAAGATATATAAAAAATTTCATTTTCGATTTTTTAGCGATTACTATAACCGGCCCTACGGGAAGTTAAAAAAAATACCACTTTCTTAAATTTAATTATTTTATAGCCTTTCATTAACAATTTTTTTTTTACTGTAATTAATTTTATTGATTAAGTAGAGACGTTCGAACTTTAAAAAAATTATGATTTAAACAATACCCCTGATTGAAAACTGTATTGAAAAGTATTCATTTTCTCGGAAATCAATACTTTTTCGACGATTTTTTTAACGAAGATGAAAACATTTGTCATCTAGCTTCTTCTTGAAAAAACAATAGTTAACCCTGCACCTATTCAAAATCAAATAAAAATAAAATGTTAACTTTAATAAGCTATTTAGTAAATAAAATTAAAATAATAATAATAAATTTCTTTTTCCGAAGAATTTTCTATTCCGCCTCTGAAAGTTGATCAGCAAATGGTTCAGAATCTGAACAAAAGTTTTTTTTATGATACTGAGCTATTAAATAATGATTTTAAAATTTGTTTATTCTGAATTCATATCATATGTAATTTTTTTTTTATCTAAACAAATTATAGAGCTTTTATTTAATAGATCTTTTATTTAATATATATGAATTCATCAGAAGAAGCGCGATTTAATTTGTTTAATAATAATGTCCAATACTCGATAAAATATATTCACTTTTAACAAACTTCCAGTGTCTTGAATATGAACACCCAAAGCTTATCAAAATAGCGTATTACCTTCCTGTGTTGAGTTTTAAAAAATTCATGATTGATAAATCATTTTTCTACTGCACTAGTGGCGTCTAATTTTAAATTTCCAAATTCATGTCATTTTTTAAAATCGATTCGATAGAATGAGCTTAAATGTGGACGAAAAGTTTAACACTTTTTTCAAATTACAAAGAAACGGCTCGGCCGATCGTCGCACAAAACTGAGAAACGATAATCATCATCGAGATACATCAAATGGTTTTTAAATTTCTGAGATCGGTTCAGGCGTTTTTGAGAAAACGTCGATGAAAGGTCTAATTTTGACAAATGCCAAAAAGACCATACTAATTTTTGCAAACTTTGACGAATTTTTAAAGCTAAACGAGTTGTCGTAGGGCCGTAATATTTTAGTATGATCTAGAAGACTATGGTATCTACCGCCAAAAAAATAATCATAAAAATCGTCATTTTTTTTTTTTTTTAACTTTATTACAAGAAAATGGCTTGGCCGATCTCTACCAAAAACTAATCAACACGATTCTTAATATTTTCAAAATCGATTCAGAATTGCGGGATAAAATATAGACGAAATTTTTTTCACTTTTCTGCGATTTATAAAGAAACGGCTTGGCCGATCGTCGCACAAGACAGACAAATAATAGTTCTCATCGAGATACATCGAATGGCTTTTAAATTTTTAAAATCGATCCAGCCGTTTTTGAGAAAACGTCGATTTACGGCAAAAAATCTGTTCACATACACGCACACACACATACATACTTTTTCCAAATTTGGTCTCATTCGATTCAGAATGGCTTGAAACGAAACGAATGAATTTCGAAGAATGGCTCGAGAAAACATAAACTTCTCTTTCGGGAAGTTAATAATTGTAGTTTGCAAACTTCTTTTTATGTTATTTAGTTTCATTTTGAATTTCAACAAAACAGAGTTTTAAAGCATGAATGGTATGAGAATGTCGTGCACATCTAATAGGCTTCAATACTTTTAATGTTATTTAGTTGATAAAATATTCCATCCTTTTATATCATGGCCAAAATAATTAAAAATTCATAAACTGTTTAAAGAAAACGCGAAAAAATATGAAGAAACCAGTGGATGTGTTCTAAAACAAATTAAAATCCTTTTGTTTAGAGTGTGTTGAAATTAGGCTAGCAACAAATAGTATAATCAGCAATATACCGATTATAATAAATAAAATTAAGAGAGAGACTTGTCGGAGTCCACATGTCAGAAGTATAATCTGCTTCTGAAGGTAAACTTTTAATTTTCAAAACCAAAAATAATGTTTGTATTTTCTGCGATAAAAAACCTAAGGTAGCTCTTTATTTAGTAAATGCTTAAATTGAATATAATGAATGACTTTATTGCATTAACATACAACTCATGCACGTAGCCGTTAAATGATTAATTAATATTAATAATTAATCATTAATTAATTTATTAATTAATTGATTAATATTAAATGACATTTAACTATAACAATAATGTATTCTTTGAACATTGAGCAGGAGCGTAGCTACAGCCATACCAGCTCTAAAATCTAAAGCAAAACATTGATTTATAAAAAATTAAATAACTTGGACGTAGTTATCGAGCGGTATTGAACTTCAACTTGCAAGCTTATGCTTTAAGAGAATTTATTTCTGCTGCAAAATATTTGAAAACTTTGTATGCACTTCACGAATGCAATGATATTCAAAATTAAAACTAAAAAAACATACGTAAAAACTTTAGGGCAGAAATGTTCACCAGACCTGTCACTATTGTTCCTAGGAGCAGAAACTTTAGAAAATCCAAAGATCACTTAATAATTCAGTTTTTCGAAAAAAGAAAAGGTGAGAATATTTTTATCTGAAATCATTCATAAAAAATGCAGAAAATTATAGAAAATTAGATAGAAGTTTCAAGCTTCAAATATACAAAAATATTTTAAGCTATTTATTATTATTTTTAAGTTCACTATTTTTACTAATACAAAGTAATCCTCTTTTCGTACTGTTTAGCTAAATTGGCGTCGCTGTTAATATGTATACCTATATGTATACATATTAACTTGGAGTACAGTAAATGAACAACTCATAATTATTAACAAATATTTAGATCCTTTTCAAATAATTTATCAATTAAAACATTCAAAAGTTTTTAAAATAATAAAATAATTCTTAGTTTAATTTGATGATTATAAATGTTTAATTTAATATAAAACATAATTCTGTCAACCACTCTACATACATTTGGTATATATTCTAAACTATAAGTTTTTTTCAATACAAAGTAAATCTTATAAGATATCGAATATCTTATAAGATGTCGAGCATGAAGCCATTACTGACGCTATCGCCTATATCTTGCAAGTAATTATAATATTTTTATTATATTGATAGAAGGCAATTTATAGATAAAATAAATACCTAAAATTTTCTTCAAATAAATTTTAGTTTCTTTTGTCTTTATTACGTTAACTACAATAAACTGATTTAAAATTTTCCAAATAATGTTATTGAAGTTGATTTTCAGTAGCAAAACCTTGCATTAGACCAATGGTTCCCAACCTTTTCAATGTTACTACCCTTGTGAACAAGTATGGGAATTGAGTTTACCTCTAGCTAATTTAAAATAATTAAAACCACACAAATTTAAACGATAATATGTTTATTATCCAACTCCATTTATAGAACAAATGTTTGGTCTTTAATTTGGCAAAATATTCTTTTTCTTTTTGTGTTCTCTGATTTTCGAGAAACAATCCAATTTCTTCTCGTAATTCGTAAACCCTACTTACAACTTTGCCTCTTGATAACCAACGTACGTCGGTACGCACGCCTTAGGGGGCGCCAAAACGAATTTTGAAAATTAAATTTATAATATAT